AGCGGCCCCGGAGGCGCCGAGATAAGGCGGTGGCCCGAGGGGAGGGGGCCGCCCGTCCGCTTCCGGCGGCGCGCGGGGTCCCAGGGAGGCCGCGGGGCCCCGGCCCTTTCCCCAGCCAGGCCCCGGCGACGGGGAGACGCTCATTCATTCACTTGCTCACTGTCTTTCGTGCACCCGCTGTGTGCCAGGCGCGTGGTGGGCACTGGGACACAACAGCGAACGGGGCCAACCATCTCGGCACTTATATGTAGAAAAGGGGCGCAGACATCAAATAATGACAGAGCTGAACGTAGAGTCTTGGGCTGTGCTAGAAGAAGACGCCTGACCTGCTCAAAGCGTGTGTAACAAACAGGCGCTCTCAGTCTGTCGGAGACTCAGGGAGGCAAAGGAGGCGCGGAAGGGGCAGAAGGAGCGGCAATTTAGGAGGAGGGGAAAGAGGGCCGGAGTGAGAGTGGTGGAGCTCCAAGAGCAAAGTGAGAGGGCAAGAAACGACAAGCAAGACCAGGTGATGAGACAGGGCCTAGCGATGAAGGAAGGGGTTGGTGCTTCAAGAACACATGGCCGAGGGGCGCTTACCCAGCTTGGGGCGACAGGGAGGGCTTAGAGAGGAAGTAAGCTAAGACCTGAAAAACTAGAAGGAAGTGGAGAGAGAATCTAAGCGGCTGTAAAGGCGTGTGTAGGGAGACAGAGAGGAAAGTGTGCATTGCAGAAATACGGTGGGGGACCTCCTTAGGGTGGGAGCAGTTGGTTCGGGAGGGGCATTAGGCTGCAGAGGTAAGTAAAGCCACATAAGCCAAGCAAAGGAGGTTGCTGAAAAAATAACGGGAGTGATCTGATCAAGGAGCTCCTTGTGTCGGCTCTGTGGGGTTGGGATTGAGGCATGGGAGGCAGGGAGTCCAGCCTGGAGCTGCTGCAGGAATCCAGGCAAGAGAGGAGCTTGTCCTGGAGCAGGGCAGTGGCAATGTGTATTGAGAGAAGTGGAAAATGAGAGTGGTATTTAGTGGTGGAACCCATTGGACTTTGTGACTAGTAGACTGTGGGGACAAGGAAAGAGAAATTGCAGATGACACTCAGATTTCTGGCATGGGCAACTGGATGGATGATGGTGGGAGTCACTGAGATACAGACCCAAGGGTGTTGCAGGTTGGGGGAGGAGGAGAGTGCGGGGGAAGAAATAAATTGCATTTTGAAGGCTTTGAGCTTGTGGTGCCTGTGGGGTTATTCATGAAAAGATATCCTGCAGACATTTGGAGTTCAAATCTGAAGCTGATGTCTCCTTCCCTTACTGTGCTGGTATCTCTCTCTCTCTCTCACACACACACACACACACACACACAAACACACACACACACACACAAATGCTGAGTAAGTGTGGTGGATACTGCCCCTGCTCCTTTTCCTGGCCCCCACTACTTCACCCCATATCCTCACTTGCTTTCCTTCTCCACTGTGAGTTTAGCTAAATCTAACCAGACATGAACACACCCATATAAGGGCTAAATTTGTGCAGCCTTAAAAATAAGTAGGTAAAAATAAACTTCCTAGGCTCTTTTGTAGTAGATTATCTTGTAAATTATTTTTTTTATTTTTATTTTTTATTGTACTTCAGGTGAAGGCTTACAGAACAAATAGTTTCTCATGAAACAGTAGTACACATGTTGTTTTATGACATT